GCTGGCAAACTAAGAAACACCTTCTTATGTAATCCTGAATGTTGCATTTGCTAAAAACCTGTGTAACTGAATGTATCATGGCCCACCTAAAATCAATTTCCACCTTTTGTGGTTACAGCTGAATCTTAAATCCATTGAAAAAATCTCTGCCCAAACAGGCTAGCCAGTGCTGGATTGTTGGAGTACTCTGATCAGAGCCAAGCATCTCTGCAACTGGAAAAGTGGTTCTGTTTGTGGACTGTGTTGATATGCACAGTACATAATACAGAATATTATGCTGGCAGTAACTTGGCTTTAAAACAACTGTCCCGTGGAATCTAGGTAAAGCAGTCAGGCTTTTGACTTTTGGACGTCTCTCAAGAGATGGAGCTGTGCATTATCATACATATGTATTCATATGTTGAAAACTGCTGTGCTTGGTGATTGTAGGAGGTTTTGAAGCATCTTGTAAATTCTGTATTTGAAGTCACTCCAGGTATTCATTGGGATTACATACATACATACATACATCATCTAAACCGCTTACCCTTCTGGGTCGCGGTGGGGTGCTGGAGCCTATCCCAGCTGTCATTGGGCGGAAGGTAGGATACACCCCGGACAGGTCCCCAGTCCATCGCAGGGCAGACAGACAGACATACACATTCACACACACACTCACACCTAGGGGCAATTTTAGCTCATTGGGATTACAGTGATTTCTAATTTTTTCTCACTGGAAATTTTCTGAAGAATGGGAAGTGATGGGATATCTGTCATGTTGCCATGAGATATTCTGTCTTCATCAGCATTTGCAATTTTATTGGTGTGCAAATGCATTGGTGTAAATTCACAAAGTTGTGCTCTTAACGTTTCCCTGTCCTGATTTTTGCAGTGTCTCCGATGGCATTCCCCTTGGAGAGTGGAGAATATTTCCTGTTACCTCTACCCTTACCCTTTTCTTGAGTACTTTATGGGCAGTACCAAGGAGAAATCACATGGACATCCTCTATGCTTTTATAACCTACACATATAGGTTGAAACCAATCTTTGCAGGCCTAATACTGGGCATATGGCTCTTTCGGGCCCTTAATCATTTCACAAACACAGAAAAGTTGCTCTTCCTCATTAGCTGAAACAGCATGTTGAGCTTCACTTGGAGTGCTTTCCTCGTAATCACCCTTTTTAACTGGACAGATTGCTGCCTTGGACTTTAAACCTTACCCTTCCTCCTGCCACATTTGATAGAGCCATTTTCTAATGCGCAACTTGTTATTCCAAGCATCAGTAGCAATTCTACCCCATACAGAGTCAGGGTTTCTGTAGCCTTCATGATCTAATACTATGAGATTTCTTAGAAACAGGCTGACAATTTTCTTCTCTGTTTCATTTTGATTTTTGAAAAATTTCCACAGCAACCTAAAAAGAAAAAATAGAAACCACAACTTATTAATGCCTTCAAAATCTATGTAATTTAACTTTTTTTTAATTGCTCTAGCAACAACTTACCAGTTATTGTTTAAGTATTAAATCAGAATGGCCAGGCTAAAACTAGAGTGGGAGACTGGATCTCCATCTGTGATATGTAATTATTCTTGCCTGATATGAAAAATGCCTTCAATATCCACCTGGAATTTCAGCTTTCTATTCATTTACCTGTTTGCATTACTGCATAATGTGCCATGTTGCCAGTTATTTTAAAGAGGGACCATGTCCCACCAAGCAGCAACAAAGGTTAAAACACTGAATTCTTAACAAGTATAGGTAAAGGACCTCCTAAAACCTAAACAAACCGGGATACCGAATGTACAAATGGCTGAAAGCAATAGTGATACTGCACAAAGTATTTGAAGCATTTCTAAAGCCAAGTGAAAGCTACAGCTATAACTAAAACCAACAAATGAACAAGGCCTCCATCATTCTACTAAACAGAGACAACACTAGGAGACTAACATCACAATGCTAAAACATACTAACCCTAAATTCACTTATTTCAAATACAACCAAAATCAAAAGCCTAATGTTCACATTTAAACAAGAAAATGATTTTGTCTGGGAACAAATATTATAAAAACTCTATATTGCTTAACCACATTACTCAAATAATATTATGATGAAATTAAATGTTTGACTAGCAGTTTTCATAAATGCTCTAAAGTTAACGTGGCAGATACTAATCACAGATATCATTTCAATTTCTGTAACAAAGGGAGGGCAATAAAACTACTAAAGATCAAATTCCAAATTCCCAAAGACTAAACACTATCCAAAACTACTCACATACACACCTCCCCCACCAAAAGAAAACTGCCAGCAAACGGCCCAAACACACATACTCACCGGACAAAATCAAGAAATGGACAAGCCCCCAATTCTGTTATGGCCTGACCCTAGACCGGGTCGTAACAATCTGTTTCCGCTAAAGTATTTTAGAATCCCTGAAAGACTGTGCAGGATATTACAGTTTAATTAAGTTAATTTAAGAGAAAAAACTGAGTCAAAATTATGAGTAAACTGCTTAATTAATAATGTAATTTTAATGAGAGTCCTGCTGCCCATCAGCTTCCTGGACTCTAGCTTACGTTAATAGATGTGAAACTCTCACAGCCTTCAAAATGTATATTTTCACTGATATCTGTTCAGAACATTTACACCATTAAAATCAGCAGCAACATCAGCAATTTACCCAGCTTTGATTTTTACTGTAATGTAAAGACAAACACCAAGGCAGAGAGAGAGAAAGAGAGAGGAAGAGAGAGATAGAGAGGAAGAGACAGAGAGAAAGAAGAAGTGTGTGAGAGAGAGAGAGAGGGGCGGGGCGGAGAGAGATAGAGAGGAAGAGACACAGAGAGAGAGACAGTGAGAGAGCGGGGAGGTGGGGAGGGATCAGATCAGGCCAGTCAACAACAGCGCGACAGAATCATTGTCCAGAGTTTATTGATAGATTACCTATCTCACAGCCGTTCACGACCGTTTACCTCCAAAACAGCAGCTAAACTAGGCTGTATAAACGAACTGTGGGCTGTGGGCGACACCTATTAACTAAAGTAGCTGACAGACACTTGTATTAAAATACCCGCAACAGATTTCAAGTTTAATAAACAGAAACATCATAGAAGGGATAAGAAAACCGTAAACACGGTATCTGTTTAGCTCGGATCAGCTAGCTCGGCTAATGCTTCCTTAAGGCTGGTTTATAGCTAACGCGTCGCGAAGGTCGCAAGGGTCCGCGCGGCTAAAATTGCGTCACACATCCAGACACGCCCCTGCGCGAACGCTCCGCGCGTCTGTCGATCGCCGCGTCGCGCGCACAGAAAATTTTCTAACTACGCGGCGGTGCGACGCGGACGCCAAGCCAGAAAATGGAGACTTTTGAGGAGAGGCTGGCGGCGGAAATTAAGAAATACAGGCACCTTTATTGACTCTTCCATGAAGGAACTCATTCAAACTTTGATGATGAGGTAAGTCAGTAGCTATTTTGATTTTTGGAGCTACCTTGTCTAGCAGCTAGTCAGTATGTTATAGAAACTGTTCAAATGTAACTTATGCTAATATAGCTAACTAGCTACCTAAATGAACGACAGTGCCAAATCAGTATTTTTCACACAGGGCCACCTAGCGGATAGGAGAATATCGTCGCGCCTCTGCTACATGCCGCAAGTAAGTTAGCATAAAACGCGTCTTTGTCGCGAGGTACGCGCGCCCCTTCCGTCATCGTTCGCGCGACACTAGATGCGGAAAGTATAATCTAGCCCTTAGGCTGGAGTCGAGTTGTGAGAGCGGATCTCAGCAGGTTTCGTGTTTGGCCGAAACGCCGTTTTCTTTAGTTCGTGTGAAAATGAATACAGATGCCCGTGTGGACGCGGTCTGTTCCTCATGTGTGCTGGTTCAGTTCTTCTCTTACCTTCTCCAATAAACTGGAGATCTCTGTAGTGTTTTTCCTGCTGGAGCTACTGTTTTTTGATTGGTGAATCTTTTAAATTTAACCGCGCTTTGTTATTATTGGGTGATAAGCTGATACGCTCATAATTTATTTTTACTCTGTAAAAATATGAAAATTAAACTAGCGAAGTAAAAGTATTTCATTAAAAATTAACTCAAGTAAGAGTAAAAGTACTATGACTTAAATCTACTCCAAAAAGTACCGTTACAGGGAAAACTATGCTCAATTACAGTAACGAGAGTAAATGTAATTCGTTACTTACACCTCTGCAAAGATGAAATGTAAATCCTCAGAAAGTTGTGACAACACATGGCAACGTGGACGGGACAGCAAAAGTAATCTGTACTATGTCAGTACGTTGTCAGTGTTGTGCTTTTAAGATATTGGAGCTATGATGATGTGGTCGCTGCCGTCAAAATGGAGCAGTTAATTAAGTAATTATAATACAATCCCAAGATTGTACATAAAACTTAATGCAGTAAATGATGTTCTAACAGGCTCCTTAAACTGATTTTTTTTTTTTTTGCAAAAACAAACAAGCAAGCAAACAAACAAAACAAAACAAACACACCATATTTTCATTAATATAACAATTTTTATAGAGGTAAGGTTCACTGTACTGTGACTGCTAAGAAACGTGATAACAAAGACAAAATAAACAGAATGTTAAAACTACAATGATAAAATTCAAACATTATATGCACAAAACTATACAATATATAGTAATTAAAAACAGTGATGTCTACAACAAACTTAAAGCGAAAATACACGACTGCAAAAGTTGGCGGAAAACGGGCTGAAAGTGATTGGTTGAAACCATTCGCAGTGCCTTGTGGGATATGTAGTTCATTCCGACATTAGACACGTTAAACAAGTACACAGTCTTGTACCTTTGCCTGAGTGCTTAAAACTCTTCATATAAGGATTTTTCGAAATGTCTATGGAGCAAATAAATGGGATTTTCACTTCCGGAACCAGAGCCGCTGAAAAAGTGGGATGTGACTGCGAGTGGTAAGTGGAAGTGGCTGAGGGCAAGTTAAAAAAAGGAATTGAAAAGGCACCCTAGTGCCCATTGAAAACAACGGGATGACCGGATCCAGTTTACGTATGGAACAGCGTCACTGACATCAAGGTCTGAGATGATTGGTCAAGCCGGGCGTTACGCTTTCCTCAAAGCCAAACAACGGAGGATTGCCATTTCCCCTTACGTGAGACAACCTCTGGTTAAAACAGTAATGAAACGAGTCCAGATTTGCGGAAATGTTCAGATGGGGCTTCCTTAGTTACCGCTAGTAAACATTAACGCCGAATAGTCATGGCCGAGTTGTTTGGATCTAATAGGACCTGGCGGCAGTTATGCAATGGTGAGCAGCATTAATACAAGTGTGCATATACAACGGCAACAAAATATAGCAGATATTATCACGATGTTTTTTTGAGAGTTGCCTTGTTCTCTGTTAGGAATTAAGTTCTCTTGCTAACTGGCTAGTTTTTCCATTTTAATGCTTTAATCATCGGATCACTTGGGACCAGGGACATTTTCCATAGAAAGACTGTTGTTCAGCAAGCTTTAACATGTCAAGAGACTACAATAAGTTGGCAGGTGTCTCATTAAGAATTCAGTGTTAAGGCTTATTCACAGCAAGTACACACCAAAATCGAGGCGTTTTTTAACACGATGAGAAAATAAATGCAAGATATATATTGCAGAAGTATATTATTTTGAACTTCACTGTATTCATAAACCCAGCATTCAAAACCTTATCTCATTTCTAAAAAAAGAGTGTAAATGTAAATTATTTGTTTGTTTTTTTCCATACAGAAAAACCGTACACATTGATTGAGAGGTCTTATATATATGTATGTTTATCCTATATGTTTAGAAATGAATATTTAGACCCTCTTTTATTTTTTGTTTTTATTATTTGATACACTTCCAGTGCATATATCCATTTCAAATTTACACACTTGTCTTTTGACTTTATACATATAAATAACTTTTTGTACTTTCATAAAAAAAAAAAACACCACAAATTAATAACTAATAAGCTGTTGTTGGCCTTTACAGCTTCAAGACGTCTACAATAAGAAGTAACTTTGTTATATTTTGGCCCTTTCCTCTCGGAAAATCATCTTTAATTCCCCAAGTTTACGAGGGTCCTTCTGTTGGACGCGCAATTTTTAAAATTCTCCATAATATTTCAATGATAATTATGTCTATATGGCAAGCCAAGAGGACCAGAATTCGTCAGGGTTTTGACGGCATATAAAGCGCGTGCTATGTTTTAAAACGCCGTCCAGAGCGGCGGTTATGGGTTTTCTTTTCGCGGTTAGTTACACGCGAGGCGCCGCCAAGCGTTTTAGAAAGTCTGCCGGCAGCTTAACGCCACCACGCGTCTCATAAGCAAAAATCAACTGAATTTACATATCCCCTCCTTCCCCAAGAGGTTCAGCCCAGGCTTCAGGGGGAAGGGTTATAGGGATAGTTGGTTTGGCCAGGGCTGAACCTCTTGGGGAAGGAGGCGATATGTAAATTCAGTTCATTTCTGCATATGAGACGCGTGGTGATAGCCGGGATAATTTTTATTGCTTCCACTGTCTTATTATGGTGCTGGGTTTTACCTCATTGCGCACTGCTATTTAAACTTTCGAGTATAGTAGTTCTGAGTTATTTTGTTGTCTTGTTGAAATATCCATCTTCTCCCCTTTCTTAGTCAATGAGACTAAATTCTCTAAAATCGCCATTTGCAGAGCAGCAGCCCTTATCATAATGCTCCCACACCTGCATTTTACTGTGTGTTCTCGGGCTCTGTGTACAATCCTCTTTCTCCAAACATGACTGTATAGTATATTTGCTTTACATTTTGATATCTTTTTGCAGGTAGTTTTAACTCAGGGCTTTTGGATACTGGACGTTTAATCAGTGAAATGTTAAATCAAGTTATTTCAGTTTCACTCAAGTTAAGATTTAAGTTTTGCTCCACCTGTCATTAGCTTGCAATCTATTTGGAGGTGTTGATCCTTTCCACTCCCATCCTGTTCTTGCTGGCTATCATGTTTCAGAGAAATGTTCAATCTCATATACGTATTGACAGAATATATATATATATATATATATATAAATATATATATATATATATATATATACACATACACACACACAACTGGGCCCAAAATTGAACCTGGTGGTACTTCTTTGGATATGGTCAAAAATCCGATTTATAATTACTCAGTGCTACACATTGTTGTCTGTGTGAAAGGTAATTTTGGGTCCATTTTAGTGCATTTTTATCAAAACCAATCTTTTGTAAGTGCCTTAAAAGAAGAGTGTGATCAACTGTGTCAGCCTTTGATAAATCATTAAAAATGGCAGCACAAAGCTTCTTCCTGTCTGTGGCCATATAGAAATTTAAGACCAGTGTGGTAGCAGAGATGGTGCTGTGTCTTTCTCTAAAGCTAGATTGATAATTAAACAGGATGGAATTTTTGTATAGAAATAGTTTTAAGTTGACTTTACTAGAAATTCTAAAATGTTAGCTAAACAGGACAATTTGAGATTGGTCTGTAGTTATTACATCTGCCACCTCACCTCTTTCATGCAGTGGAGTTACATGAGCTATTTTGATGGAAACCTGGGAATTCTGCATGATAAAACAAAGATAAAAATGTATGTTATGTGTTCTAAATTAAGTGGCGCTGCTTGACGCAGGAAGTCTTCACCAGTAGTTTTTTGTAGATTAATAGTAGTAAGAGATTTAGCTACTAGCTACTTTAGCTGAAGTGTGAAGACACCATGGCTCTGGGTAACAGTAGAGTTGATATCAGTTTGACCTAACAGCAGTTTTAATCAGTATTTAATCAGATGAATCCCATCAACTCGGTGTGCGCGATTCCAAAAAAAGGTTAAAATTGTCAATAAAAGTTAAGTCTTTGCAGAGGCAGATTTTTTGGAGCAAGATGCGAAGACATGTTTTCCTGGAACTTTCTCTAATGGGGTTGTAATATAGCACCTTAATCATGTTAATGAAGTTTGGACCAAATTTAAACATATCCAGTACTCTCCATGGATATTGCCACTCAAGCCTATCAAAAGCCTTTTCTGCATCAAGAAATAAGAGGCCACAGGGAGATGAAAACTTGTGTGCTTCTCCTATTACTTACAGAAGCCTTCTTATATTGTCTGAAGCTAAGTGCTCTTTCATGAGTTTGGTCTGGGTGGATCAATTTTACCTATCACTTTCTCCAACGTAAGAGCTAGAACTTTCAAGAGTAATTTCACATCTGCATTTATCAGTGAAATAGGACGAGAATTGGCACATTTTAATGGATCCTTACCTGGTTTTGGTATGACAGTAATAAGCGCAGTGTTGAGGTCTCTATAAAGGCTTCCTTTTTCAATAGCATAATTTATAGTTTTTTCCACAGAGCTAGGTACAATTCTGCAGGCAGCCCGTCTATACCCGGAGAACGGCCTTTAGATATAGATTTAAGTGCTGATAAAGATTCCTTTAATGTAATTGGAGTCCAGATCATCTGCCTCCAATGGTGTCAATGAAGGAAGGTTTAAGGATTGAAAAAAATTGTATAATCGTTTTCAGATGTGTCAGAGTGTCAGTAGTATATAGTTTAGTAAAGAAGGATCTAAAGGCTTCACTGATATCAGGGTCTTTGAGACAATGCCTCCATTTGGACATTTGATGGCCAAAATAGACCTTTTACTGCTTTGTTGTTTAAGTTTTAATGCAAGGAGGCAACTTGGCTTGTTTCCTAGTGAATAATATTTATGTTTAGTAACATGCAGTAGGTACTCCACTCTATATTTTAACAAATTATTTAATTTGATTTGTTTAGCTTTTAGTTGGGAGTCTTTATTTATGTTATATGCTTTTTAACTTCTTCTTTCAGCTCCTTTCAGGCTCTTTATTTGTTGCAGGCTGGATTTTTGAAGATGCAATGAAAAAGAAATGGTAGTGTTATTGCAGCCCAAGCCATTGTTGGAGTTCTTTTTTAAATCTATGACTTTAACTGATTAATAAATACTTCATTCTGGAGCAGAGAAGTATAAAACCTCCTTCTTGATGCTTTACTGTAGCCAGCGTCAAAGCAAAGATTTGTTATAATGGGATTATGGTCTGATATACGTCTGGGGAGGAATTATGTGGAAGAAACTGTAGGAAGCAGATCGGCTGAAAGGACAATAAAATCCATTCTGGAACACATGATGAGGTGAAGAATATGTGTAATCCCTGACGGTGGGGTTCATAAGCCTTCAAGCATCAACCAAGTTTAGATCCTTAATTAAGTTATTCAGGGCTTTGGAAGCAGTTACTTGAACCGATGAAATGAGCGAGGGCATTCTATCTAGGCTTGGATCCGTAAAAATTCATATTAGAGCCCACAATTAAATAATATTTGTCCAAAACCATTAATTCTTCGGTAATGTTAGGAAAAAAAGGTGGTTCATAGATCATTGGTGCATAGACACTAATAAAAGCCATTTTCTTCCCTTGTATGGATGTGCAGCAAAATGCTAGCTTCCCTGTAGTATCTGCACTAGTCTTGATAATACAGGTACTTAATGTGCGCTTCATTACTATAGCAGCACCTTTTGGTATTTGAACCATTTCCAGAGGCTACTACTAATCTATATCTTTTATCTTGTAATCGCACAGTATCAGCTGGCCTAAGATATGTCTCTTGCAGCAATATCCACTTTATTCCTGTGCAGGAAGTCTAGAAGTTGAATGAAAAATTTAGACCCCTAACATTGAATGACATCACTCTGTAACTATCTATTATAGCAACTTGGGACACAAGCTGAATCCCATGCGCTAAACTGAAAAACACAACCCAAGAATACAGGTGAAATAATCAATATTAAAGCTAAACAATGTCCTATGATGAAACATTTAAGATAAGGTATTCTCATGTGATTACTGTGACCACCCTCTCCCTCCCCTGTCCCACCAATCCCTTCTGTCAACGTCCGTGAGAATCACAAAGCGATGTCTTAACACGGAATCAGGTATAGCCTCCCACCACTGGAGTTAAGTATTTATAGATATTTATATAAAAAAAATAGTAAATAAATAAAATTACTTGATTTAAAATATGGGCCAATATTCCAACCAAAAACAATAAGACGTAGAAGAATACTAAGAGGCCTACATCGGAGCTAGTAGCCAGAAATCTCACACGATCACCGTGCGTTGTGTGAGAGGAGCCAGGTACACATTCCATGTCAGTGAAATGCTTTGAGGACCTTGCCTTTTTATCCAGAGCCATTGACTTGGTGTCAGTGTCAGTAAAGTACAATTTTTGCCTCGTCCGCTGAATCAAATGAGAGTTTCTCACCTTTGTAGCT